ACACTCCAGCAGCCAATGCTGGCTGCTCCGTCTAAACTGTACTCCCTAAGCTGGGGCATGGCACATGCCTGTAGCTCCTCTGGAGACTGAGGCAGGCAGATTGAGGTCAGCCTGGGCAACATAAGATCCTGTCTCTGTGAACTCCAAAGAAATTCCTTTAAGTAACCTATATAGTGTCTATTGTGGTCTTGGATCCATTTGGGTGCATCTGTATATTTGTAATAGATTTGTAACATAGGAATGTACCCTGTATAGCTCTGAGGGTTGCTTCAACAGTAGAGGGCTTGCCTGGCACACAAAGGACCCTAGGTTTAATCCCTAGCACTAAAGGAAAAGAATTTCAGTGCGTCCACAAAAACAGATCGACAAGAGCTGAAATCCGTGAGGAAGACCAGTAGCAGGCAGATAGGGTTAGGGATAGACTGGTTTTGAGGGAGTGTCAGTTGGTGTGACCTGCAGTACTGTGTGGCACTGTGCTTCTGAAACTACTTTGTGGCTCTAGAAGGTGATGTGCCTATTCTTCCCTGATGATTGTGACTAGGTGAGGCCTCCAGCTCAGAGGAAGAGCCTCTGTCCCCGGAGGACAAGGAGAACCTGGCTCCCAAGCGTGCCGGCCCGCACCTGCGCTTCGAGATCAGCAGTGAGGACGGCTTCAGCGTGGAGGCCGAGAGTTTGGAGGGTGAGTGGGGGGGGTGGCTGAGAGGGAAAGTGTCCCATTGACCTTGGGCTGACCCTGCTCTGGTCACACCCTCACCCCAGGGGCCTGGAGAGCTCTTATTGAGAAAGTGCAGGAGGCCCGAGGGCATGCACGCCTCCGCCATCTTTCCTTTAGTGGTAAGTGGGCTTCCCCCTGGGGTGCCTGGGTGATCCCCAAGGGCAAGGCGGGGCCTCCACCCTCCCTTTGTCCTCCACTCCTCTCAGGAATGAGTGGGGCCAGGCTCCTGGGCATCCACCATGATGCTGTCATCTTCCTGGCCGAGCAGCTGCCAGGGGCTCAGCGCTGCCAGCACTACAAGTTCCGCTACCACCAGCAGGGAGAGGGCCAGGAGGAGCCACCCCTAAACCCCCACGGGGCTGCCCGCGCTGAGGTCTATCTCCGGTGAGAGGTTGGGGAACCCCATGGGAATGAAATCTAGACAGAAGCCAGGTGACAATAGCTCAGGCCTCTTGTCCTAGGTATCAGCAGGCTGAGATCTGAGGATCTTGGCTTGAAGCCAACCCAGGGAGGAAAAGTCTTGAGATTCTTACCTTGAATTAACCACAAAAGGCAGGAAGTAGAGCTGTGGTTCAAGTGGTAGAGTGCTATCCTTGGGCAAAAAAGCTCAGGGAAGCTGGGCGCTAGTGGCTCACGCCTGTAAACTAAGCTACTCAGGAGGCTGTGATCTGAGGATCAATTTCAAAGCCAGCCAGGGCAGGAAAGGCCATGAGACTCTTATCTCCAATAAACCACCAGAAAACCGGAAGTAGCAGTGTAGCTCAAGTGGTAGAGTGCTTGCCTTCAGCTGAAGAGGTTAGGGCAAGCTCTTAGGACCACAGTTTAAGCCTCACGACCGACCCAAAAGAAAAAAAAGAAAATAGACCAGTTGTTTCTAGAGGCACGCGGCAAGCAAGCACCCCACCCAGTTCCCCTCAGCTAGGTGTTAGCAGCAAGTGGGGCCTGGGTCAGAGTGGGCAGGCATCATCTCCCTGAAGGACAAGCTGTGACCCTCCCTCCTTCCTTCCCTTCTGCAGGAAGTGTACCTTTGACATGTTCAACTTCCTGGCCTCTCAGCACCGGGTGCTCCCCGAGGGGGCCACCTGCGATGAGGAAGAGGATGAAGTGCAGCTCAGGTCCACCAGGTGTGGAGGGCAAGCTGGGGTGAGAGGGTTCTCAGGCAGGTGGGCAGGGGTGCAAGGGCACCATCCCTGGAGACAAGCCTATGACACTGCCGTCCGCCACCAGACGTGCCACCAGCCTGGAGTTGCCCATGGCCATGCGTTTTCGCCACCTCAAGAAGACGTCCAAAGAGGCTGTGGGGGTCTACCGGTGAGTAGGCTTGGGTGAGTGGACAGATGCCCTGTGGAAGGCTGCCCAGTGGCCGCCCTGCCTCCTGAGCGCCGCTTCCCCCCATCCTGCAGGTCAGCCATCCATGGGCGAGGCCTGTTCTGCAAGCGCAACATCGACGCTGGCGAGATGGTCATTGAGTACTCGGGCATCGTCATCCGTTCCGTGCTGACGGACAAGCGGGAGAAGTTCTACGATGGCAAGGTGGGCACCCCCAGCCAGTGGGGGCATGGGGTGCGTGGCAGGTGGGTCTGCGGGGCAGCGCCTCATCTGCGTGCCCATCCCCTAGGGCATCGGGTGCTACATGTTCCGCATGGATGACTTCGACGTGGTGGATGCCACAATGCATGGCAACGCTGCCCGCTTCATCAACCACTCGTGTGAGCCCAACTGCTTCTCGCGTGTCATCCACGTGGAGGGTCAGAAGCACATTGTCATCTTCGCCCTGCGCCGCATCCTGCGTGGGGAGGAGCTCACGTACGACTACAAGTTCCCCATCGAAGATGCCAGCAACAAGCTGCCCTGCAACTGCGGTGCCAAGCGCTGCCGCCGCTTCCTCAACTGACAAGAAGCTCACCATGGCTCCAGTCCTCCCAGAGTGCCTCCCTCCTCCCTCCTGCTCAGGGCGGAGTGGGGCACCCCGGCCGGGCCCTGCGTCCACCCCACCAGGCTACCCAGCCATCACCCCCTTCCCGCCCTGGGGACCCAGGATGTAGATACTGTACAAAGGTTTCTAAATCCCTTCTTTTCTATGCACTTTTTTATTTAAGAGGGGGGGGCTTCCAGGTGGGAACCCCTCACAATAAAGTCTGTCAATGTTTGGAGAGGTGATAGTCTTCCCTTGTGTGTGAACTCCCACTTTCCACCCCACACCCATCCTGACCAAGGAAGTCCACCAGCCCTAATTCTGCCAGCAGGCAGAATTCCAGCCCAAGCCTCTGCTTATGTGGAGCACTGAGTGCCTGGGGGCGGGCGGGGACCCTCAGCCCTGGGGCACTCACAGATCATCTGCACTTCTGGGAAAAGAGGCTGTGTGTCCTCCACCCCATTGGGATTGTGCTTCCTCTAGTGTGATTGCATAGTACCTTTGCTGGCCCCACTTGGGCCAGCTGTGTGCCCAGCCGGCCCAGAGAGGCCATGGCTCTCTTGCTACCACCATTTCTGTCAAGGCCCTCAGGATGGCAGTGAGCAGGCAGAGATGGGAGCAGGCAGCAGGTGTTGAATGCTGCCCCAGGCTCAGGGCCAGACACCTGCCAGCTGGGAAAGGTGAAGGGAGGAAGGCCATCCAGACATAACCGGTCTTTCCCATTAACATCTGGTTAGGAGTGGATCCAGTGTTCCACTCTGGTTGAGTACAGTGGTGTAGGTATGGACGATTCCTCCAGCTAGGGCAGGTCTGGGGATGGAAACCCCTGAACCCCTTTGCCTGTGGGCCTCGAGCCTCTGCCAGGGAGCAGGAGGATGGCCGCCACGATCACAAGGGAGTACCCATCACCAGGGGCAGAAGAAAGCCTGGCAGAGTTTGCTTTGAGTTACTCTGAGACTGGAATTCTCTATGGTCACGGGAAGACACAGTCTTGCCCTTACCCCATCCACCCTGACTACCATACACAGGCTTCCTCCTGCACCCCGAGCCGACCAGCAACTCTGCTGCTCTGTGCACTCCTGGCAGGAGTCGGGCCTGTGGTGAGCTGCCACTAGAGCTACACAGCTGTCTAGTGGGAGATGCTGGCGCCAATGGGGCTGCCGAGCCCCGCCCCATCCAGCGGGCCACGCCCCCTATATGCGCCCATCCTATCAGCGTACAGCCCAGCCTCCCCTTTCCCACGAGGCCCCTTCCCTTTAGCCAATCAGTGCGGGTCTTGCACACCAGGCACCTCCCACGCCCCTATTGACTACTTAAAGAGCTGCCCCTTAGCACGCGGCCCCTAGCATATCCTACACAGACTCCTGCACGGGTTCACCAGGCCAGGGCCATCTGTCTTAGCGCTCTAGCTCCAGAGCAAGACATCCTCTTCATACCCCCCACGTCGCCTCCTCTGCCTCTATCACCTCCTTTTCCACCATCACCCTGCCTTACCACTAGGATTTAGGCATAAACCCCCCACCTGAGCCAGGAGGCGGCCTAAAGAGTTGTAGGCAGCTGCAGCAGCGTCTGTTGTTAGGGTACCAGCACTGATACAGCTGCGCAGCATCTGTTGTCAGGGTACCAGCACTGATACAGCTGCAGTACTGGGAGGCTTCCTGCACTGTGGCCACCTGGAGGAAGATTCTGGGTCCCATCTGGAGAGGCCTGCAACCTAGGGGGCAGTGTCCACAGGATTTCTACCCATACCACCTTGGTCCCAACTTTCCAGGGCACCCAGGTGAAAGAAGGAAGTCGCAGGTGTGGGGGACACAGAGTTCCAAGGTCCCTTTGGAAATGTAGCCCAAGGCTTTGAGATGGTTGAGGAAAACTTGGGGTCCAGACTGCAGATTCGGCTCATCACTGTATCCTCATAGAACTTCTCTTCCTCCCTTTTCCATTCCCCAAATTCTCATAGGGCTAATATGGAGAATCCATTTAGGTGAGAGGATCACTTGAGCCAGCCTGTGTCGTGGTCCCCTCCCCCAAGACAAAGGAAAAGGAAAGAAGACTTTGTAAAACAGCTCCTAACATGAAGTCAATGTGTCCCAGCTCAAGGTAGTGGGATTCAAAGACCCCGCCCTCCTCAATGAAGGCTCCTTCTTGACCCCCAGCCCCCTCCGCCTCCCATGCTTATCACACCCAGGCAGCTCCCTCAGGAGTATGAGGCAGAAAAGCTGAGCTTCCCGACAGGAAGGCAACCCCAGCCCACCAGTACAGATCTGGACTCAAGCCTCTTCCATACCTGGTGTGAATTTCCTCTCTCACCGTTTTTGTCAGCTGTGAAGATGGAAGGAAATTACAGCCCACAGGCAGGCAACAACAAAGCCCTACTGGAGACAGGGAATTTTATTAGGAGAGGGTTGTTGGGAGATGGTCCCTGTGTTGAACAGATTATAGGATGGAGTCCTGGAGTGAGGGGGAAATTGAGGCTGGAGAGTAAGGTGAACACTGGGAAGGGGTCCTGGCCAGGAACATTTATGTCTCTCAGGCAAGGAGCTAGAGTCTCAGAAGCGGCCATGGCGGTGGTCTGGAGAATGCCGGCGGTTCCTTTCTCGGGGACGGTGGCCAGCATGGGTCCGTGGGGGTGATCTGGGGGGCCAGGGGTGGAGAAAGCTGTGTTAGGATGGCTGGCAATGATGCAAAGATGTCCCAGGCCTGACTGCCTCTTTGCTCTGCTCTGGGCTAGGATGAGGTAGATATTAATGTATCTAGACCCCAGATCATCTTAGGAGAGGTATTGGGGGGATCCAACTTGGAATTGCAAACCCAGGCTTTTAGTTTGGGGTTCCATTTGGTTTGGGGGTTGAGACAGGTGAGGATCTTCAGATAAGTCTCAGGGATATTCTTTTTTTTTTTTTTTGCCATTCATGGGGCTTGAACTCATGACCTGGGCACTGTCTCTAAACTTTTTTTTTTTTTTTTTGGCCGTGGGGCCTGAACTCTGGGCCTGGACGCTGTCCCTCAGCTCTTCAACTCAAGACTAGCACTCTACCACTTGAGCCACAGCACCACTTCCAGCTTTTTCTGCTTATGTGGTGCTAAAGAATCGAACCCAGGGCCTTATGCATGCAAGGCAGGCACTCTACCACTGAGCCACCTTCCTAGCCCTCCCTAAACTTTTTTACTCAAGGCTAGCACTAAACACTTTGAACCACGGTGACACTCCCATTTTCTGGTGGTTCACTGGAGCTAGGTCTCATGGACTTTACTGCCCAATTTGGCTTTGAACTGTGACCCTCAGATCTCAGCCTCCTGAGTAGCTAAGGTTATAGGCATGAGCCACTAGTGCCCAGCAGGAATATTCTTAGGAAAGAGTCAGGTGAGAATTATCTTAGAGAATATGAGCTTTAAGGCCTAAGACATCTTGGGATCAGGAACTGGTTGGTGATTCATGCCTATAATTCTAGCTACTCAGGAGGCTGAGATCTGAGGACTGAGGACTGTGGTTCCAAGCCACAGGCAGGAATGTCCATGAGACTCTTACTGCCAATGAACTAGCAAAAAGCTGGAAGTGGAACTGTGGCTCAAGCAGTATGGCACCCAGACTTAAGCAGAAAAAAACAAGTGATAAGCGCAATGCCCTGAGTTCAAGCCTCGGTACCAGCACAAAACAAAAGAAAAAGATATCTTGGGTAGTCTGGTTCTGAGGTACCTGCGCCTGGGCCCCCTGCCATACAGCTGCCGGCGCAGGTTCCGGGATATGGGTCGAAGGTGCATGAAATTACAGAAGCCACCACGGGTACATTCCCTGAGAAGAGGGTAGACCACTGTCACTGACAGCCTCAAGAGTCTGCAACTCCGTGCACCCTCTCCCACTCCTGCACAGCCATACCCCATCTCATACTGACGGCAGCATGACTCCCGGAAGTCAGTGACAGGAGACAGTTCAGCATGTACAGCCTGTCCATTGAACCAACGGTTATTGAGTTCAGCCACTGCCCGATCTGCATCTTCTTCTCGCCGGAACTAAGGGGAAAGTGAGTCAGAGAAAACTGAGGAGCTCAAGATCTTCAGGGAAATAGCCGTCTTAGTCTTGGGTGGTGAGATCTCAGTGGTGATCAACAGAACACTTCTGAGCTCTAAAGCGGGAGGGAGGGGGAGGACAGTAGCACCTTAACGTAGACATTGCCCACGAGGTGGTCCCCCAGGTTGTCACACACATTCATCTCCTCAATCTCTCCATACTTCTCCTGCAGTTCTGTGAACACTTCCTGCAGAAGGCAAGGAGGAAACTCAGCTCAGCTCCTAGAGCATAGGAAAGCCAGTTTACCCCTGCCAGCCCTCACCTCAAAGAAGTTATCATAATGCTCCTGCACCTCCACGTCGCTCACATGACCTGGAAGAGGAATGCAGGTTGGAATCGGGATGGGAAGATGGCCCAGGCCTGCTGGGGACTGTCCATCCTGCCCTCCCTGCCTCCCTTCCTTTTACTCACAGTGGGATCCGTCTGCAGTCTGGGCGGTGTTCTGTGGATTCCGGTATAGGTTGAGCAGCACTATGGTCTGAACAGAATTTAAAGGGGTAGGGCCTGAGCTCAGAGTGGGGTAGGCTTGCCCTTAAGAATTGGGAAGACCAGGAGACCTTGGGGTCCTGACCAATGCACTAGGCAAGGAGAACTCTACACTTAGGTCCCATCAGAAAGTAGCCAGGGCTGAGCACTGGTGGCTCACGCCTGTCATTCTAGCTACTCAGGAGGCTGAGGAGCAAGGTTCGAAGCCAGCTCGGAGGGGAAAATGCGTGTAACTCTCATCTCCAACTAATCACCAAAAAAGCCAGAAATGAAACTGTGGTTCAAGTGATAGAACGCTAGCCTTGAATAAAAAAGCTCAGGGGCAATGCATAGGCCCTGAGTTCAAGCCCCAGGGATGGCACGCACGCGCACGAACACACACACACACACACACACACACACACACACACACACACACACACACACGGGGGGGGGGGGAGAAGCAGCCAACTGGTGGTAGGATAACTATAGAAACCAGAAAAGGCGGAACCTAGGGATGATGGACAGGTAAAGGGGAAGCCTAAATGGGATGGACCTTAAACCCCGGAAAAGGCGGGAGCTCGAGATGATGGACAGCTGAAAGGGAAACGCCAGGAGGCGTTAACCCGCAGGATGAAGCGCACGGCCGCGCGTCTCACCTGGCTGAAAGTCGGTTTGTTGTGAAGCCGGGAGCACCGGTCCCCGTGCCGGCAGGCCCCGATCTTAAAGTAAAAAGAGCAGTTAACCCTGGAAAAGGTGCAAAGATAAAAGCTTGAAAACTGAGGGCCGGAGAGGCCGGACACCCCAAGAAACACTACCCCTAAGCCACCCCACCACTTGGGTCCAGTGTCCTGACTCCCCGGGGAGGTCACTCCCTGCACCCGTTCTCACTTGTCCTTCTCAGTCCCGAATATCGAAGCTAAATATTCAGCCATGTTGATCCGGACACCCCCAGCACACACACTCGCCTGCTCCTGACGTCACTTCCGTTGCCTCGGAGCACTGGGAAATGTAGTTTGTTGGCATTGCTTTCCGAGTCACCATCACGTGCTTCGAGACTCGCTACTGCGCGTGCGTAGGATCTGGCCACGCCCACACATCCCTTCCGCGACTGGCGGAGGTTCCCAAGCAGCGCATGCGTACAACCTTGTCTAGCTGGGGGGCGGAGGAGGGGGGCGGAAAAAAAAAAATACTACAAACTCCATTGAAATCTCGCGCAGACGTCCGTTGTAAAGAATAAAAAAAGTCACCCGAGGCAGAAGGAATCAGCGCCACCGGTGAGTGGTGAGTCCATTCGAGCCGCCCAGTAAATGTCATCAGTCTTTTCATCCCGGACAGTTGGGGGGGGGGGGGTACGTACCCGCTCTGGGGCTTGAACTCAGGGCCTGGACGCCTTCCTGAGCTGCCTTGGCTCAAGCCGAGGACTCTACCACTGGAGCCTCAGCTCCACTTCCGCGTTTTTGGTAGTTAATTGGAGATAAGAATCTCTCTGACTTTTCTGCCCCGGGGGGTGGGGGGGGGCTGGCCTCGAATCGTGATCCCCCAGATCTCAGCCTCCTGAATAGCTAGGATGACAGGCCTGAGCCACTTGGCGCCCGGCTTAACCCCGATCATTTATTGATGGGAGTGAGCGTATCTTTCTTTTCACCAGACCTCTTCACGGCCATAGGTAGCTCTGATTCGTTGTAACCGAGGTGGGGTTGGTCCTGAACTTGTCACCCTGGGTGTTTGTCCTGCAGACCCTTGAGACTACCCAGCTTTAGCGCAATTATGAACTTGGAGCGGGTGTCCAATGAGGAGAAGCTGAACCTGTGTCGGAAATACTACCTGGGTAAGGCTGAGCCCCTGGCTGCCAGGGGATGGGGAGAGGGGATGAGACTAGGCTGCTGAGACTCTCCACCAGCCTGGATTGTGGGTCTCAAGGGGAAAGCAGCTTAGAGATCTGACATTGAATCCTGGGTCTTTGGGAAGAGAGGTGGTGGGTCTTGAGGAAAGAGGAATGTGAGGCCTACACTTTTTTGTTGTTGTTGGTGGTGGTGTGGGGCTTGAACTCAGGGCCTGGGCGCTGTCCCTGAGTTCTTTTGCTTAAGGATAGCACTGTACCACTTTGAGCCACAGCACCACTTCCAGTTTTCTGGTGGTTAATTGGAGATGAATTTCACGGACTTTCCTGCCCAGGCTGGCATAATAAAGGACCTTAACTCAGATCTCAGCCTCCTGAGCAGCTAGGATTACAGACGTGAGCCACCAGCACCTTGCTGCCCATGCACAGGTGCACCAGTTCTGGGGCTAGAACTCAGGACTTGGATAATGTCTCTGAGTTTTTCTTGCTCAAGGCTAGCATTCTATCATTTGAGCCACAGCTCTTCTACCTGCTTTTTTGGTGGTTAATTGGAGATAAGAGTCTTATGGACTTTCCTGACCAGGCTGGCTTTGAACTGTAATCCTCAGATCTCAGCCTCCTGAGTAGCTAGGTATGAGCTACCAGCCACTGGTTAGGTGTCCATTTCTGAAGAGAGGATGGTAAAAGAATTGGAATTTTGGGTCCAGAGGAGGAGATGTTGAGAAATCAGATTTCCAGACTCCAGGAAGGAGCCCGGATTCGTAAAGCCTTGACAGTGGAGACTTCCAATTGAACATGAGTATGAGAGAACCTTCCAAAATGGGCCTTCTTCCAGGTGTCTGTGGCTCACACCTCATAATCTTAGCTACTAGGAGGCTGAGATCTGGAGAATCACAGTTTGAAGCCAACCCTGGTCAAAAAAGTCTGCAGAACTCTTGTCATCAATTAACCAGCAAAACACTGGAAGTGAGCTGTGGCTCAAGTAAGTGAAAAAGCTAAGGGACAGGTCCTGAGTTCAAGCATGGCACATGTATACACATACACACAGAGCTTTGGAGGTGGGAGTTAGGCAGATCTTTATTGATTTCTGTCCTAGTGTGGGTTTTTTTTTCCCCCTCCTTAGGTGGATTTGCTTTCCTGCCTTTTCTCTGGTTGGTGAACATCCTGTGGTTCTTCAGAGAGGCCTTCCTTGTCCCAGCCTACACAGAGCAGAGCCAAATCAAAGGCTGTGAGTCCAGGGCAGGAAGGGAGGCCAGCCACTGGTGGTGGGAAGGGAGGGTGGAGCCTTCAGAACTCCTTCCTGGTTAGTGGGAGAGGATGAAGGCTGGTCTGAGGAAGTCCTGAGAGCAGCTGGAAGCCAGCTCTCCCCCTACACTCCTGTTCCTCATTATAGATGTCTGGCGTTCTGCTGTGGGCTTCCTCTTCTGGGTGATTGTGCTCACTACCTGGATTACCATCTTCCAGATCTACCGGCCCCGCTGGGGTGCCGTTGGGGACTACCTCTCCTTCACCATACCCCTAGGAACCCCCTGACAACTTCAGTACAGGCTGACAATCTGTTCTTTCTCCCTCTATGGGCTCCAAGCTCATTCTCAAGCCCTAAATGTGTCCATCTCACATCTTCTCCCTGACATGCCATAATAAAGGACCCTAACTTTTGATATTGATTGGTTCATGTCTTTTATCCCAACTATTCAGGAAGTATAAGTAGGATCCTGGTCCAAGTTTTCCCACATAAATGTAACGCTCCCACTTAGAAAATAAAAGCAAAAAGAGCTGGGGGTGGTGGCTCAAACAGTAGAGCACTTGCCTAGCAAGAGCAAGGCTTTGAGTACCAACCCCCCGGTTTTGCCACAACAACAATGAAAAATATCTTGATGCTCCCTATGACCCTTTCAAGTCTTTTTTTTTTTTTCTTTGTTGGTGGTAGGGCTTGAACTCTGACAATGACACCTTGCAATGTTTTTCTTTTTCTTTTTTTTTTTGGGGGGGGGTCCAGTCATGGGGCCTGAACTCTGGGCCTGGGTGCTGTCCCTCAGCTCTTCAGCTCAAGGCTAGCGCTCTACCACTTGAGCCACAGCGCCACTTCCGGCTTTTTTCTTTTTGCTTATGTGGTGCTGAGGAATCGAACCCAGGCCTCAGACATGCAAGGCAAGCGCTCTACTACTGAGCCACCTTCCCAGCCCATCTTGCAATGTTTTTCCTAGCTGATTATTGGGTGTCTTTCATTCTGTAAAAAACAGTCCATTAGTGCAAGGATTTTTGTTTGTTTTTTTGCACTGCAATATCCACACAGCTTAAGATGAATGCCTAGCACACTAATAGTTTGAAACATAGTCATACCTGAAAAGACCCAGCAGGTAGTTGGCATCTAGTGAGAGCTCCGTAAGAGAGGATCTAGCCTGATCCCAGTTTAGGTCTCCGTTTCAGGGACTAAATCCAGTTTCCTGAGTAGTTAAGTCAAATTCTGTAAATAGCTAAATTGGTGTTGCTGCAACTGAAGACTACAAGTCCCAGGAGGCACCACGGTGCGCGAGGCGGCGGCGGGGGGGGGGGGCGCACTCTGTTTCCCATCGTGCCCTGCGCGGCGCAGGCGTTGTTACTCCCCCTGAGTCTAGGTAGGTGGAACTACAACTCCCAGGAGGCATCTTGCGTTATCGTTGATTTGTTTCCGGAAACGGGGCCCACCCAAGAAGGTGGACTTATATAGCTGGGAGGCGCTGGCTGTAGCTGCCGATTGGTTCGGGGAGGAGATTGACGGCTTCCCTGACTAATAGGAACAGGTAACTGCTGAAGGGGCCCGCCTCCAGAAAGCGAAAAAAGGGAGGTAGTGGCCCCGGCGGCTGTCGTGGCTGTACATTGCTTAGGTTGGACGTGCAACCCGTGCACCCGCTTACGTTTGGTCTCTCCTGCCTGCTGCTTTTGGATTTTTTTTTCTGCTGGCCAGAAACCGATCTTAACCATGTTCCCAGTGAAGGTGAAAGTGGAGAAATCAGGTGAGGATCAGGGCGCGGGGGTGGGGGTGGGGGCGCACCCGGACGATCTAGGTAGGGGAGGCCTTGACGGACAGCTCCATCACGAAAAGGCGGGCTCCATGACTTCGCCCTGCAGCCCGTCTGACCATCGCTGTAACAGGCGGCAAGCGATGGCTGCTACCTTCACACCCTCCCAATATGCTCCCAGGAGCTCTGAGATTAAACTGCTGTTGCCAAAAGTTGTGTGTGAGGGTCCCAAATCGGTAACTCCGTGAAGGGATCCTTTTCTTGGCTTTGTGCGATGGGCCCACAGTGCAAGGACTATTAATCCTCGCGATCGCTGTATTCCAATAATTCCAGGACTCAGGAAAGTCCTGCGGGAATCAAGCTCAGGTACAGGAAGTCATTCTGGATTGGAGCAGAGGTGATGAGAAGTAGCGTAGAGAGGCCCAGAATCCAGACAGAAAATAATTGTAAGATGGGGTAGCGTGTTAAATGGGATAAAGTGTTAATAAAAAACAAAATACGAATCAATCAGGAAGTTGGTAACTCATGCCTGTATTTCTAGCTACTAAGGAGGCTGAGATCTGAAGGATCATACTTGAGAGGTCAGCCCACGCAGAGAAGTCTCTGAGACTCCCATCTCCAATAGCAAAATCAGTGGCTGGAGGCATGACTCAAGTGGTAGAACACCAAAGCAGCATGCAAGCCAAGGGAGCTTGAGGCCCTTAGTTCAAACAGAATACCAATAATAATAAGACTGGGTCTGAAAATACATATATCTTACATAAATACTGGAGCTGCAGCAATAATCTCTATAGCCTTAGCTCCTAGAGAGGCTAAAGCAGGTGAATCACTGAACTCAGAATCTCAGAGCCTGCCTGGAGCAACAATGCGGGGAGGGGGGGGGGGGGTAACTGAGGCTTGAATTCAGGTCCTGGGTGCTGTGTGTTCACTTTTTTCACTCAACTGGTGCTGTACCACTTGAGCCACAACTCCACTTTTGGCTTTCTTTGGTTGTTTACTGGAGATAAGAGTCTCGCATTTCCTGACTGGGCTGGTTTTAGATTGTGATTTTCAGATCTGAGACACTGAGGCCAGTGGCAAGACCCTAGTAAAAAAAAAAAAGGGGGTGTAGTGGATGTTTCCAGGCTATGAGATCCACAACTTGAGATTGAGGAAAGCCAAAGCTGAGGACAGAGATATGGGCACCATTCATTCATCCCTTTGGTTCCTGCCCATGGCTCATTAGTGCAATCTCGCTTGTACCATCCCTGTCTTTAGTCTGTTCCCTGTGAGTGACACTGATCGACCCAGTGTGGGCCAGTCTCTGCCCAGGTGGATCAAATACACACACAGCTGACTCCTGCTTGGTACCCTCTTCCTGCAGAGTTGGAGATGGCTAAGGCTCGGAACCAGCTGGATGCCGTTCTGCAGTGCCTGTTGGAAAAGAGTCACATGGACAGGTTGGGACCTGGTCCCGCTGGGGTTCAGGGCTGTGTGTTGTGGCAGGTTGGATGCTCTGATCCTGGGTGAATCGGGTTGAGACTCCAGGGGAGAAGGGTATCTCACAGGAGGCCACTCCATACTGTCCCACTCCTGAGTCTTCAGTTCTCTTCTCCTACCAGGGAGCGACTGGATGAGGAAGCTGGGAAAACTACCTCAGACACCCACAACAAGTAAGGAGGTTTTTATTTATTTGTTCATGGTTGGTTGTGGGGCTTGAACTCAGGGCCTGGGCTCTGTCCCTGAGCTTCTTTTGCTCAAGGGTAGCACTCTACCACTTGAACCACAGCACCACTTCTGACTTTTTCTGTTTATGTGGTACTGAGGAATTGAACCCAGGGCTTCATGCATGCTAGGCAAGCACTCTACCACTGAGCCACATTCCCAGCTGTTGTTACTGTTTTGTGCCAGTTTTAGGGCTTGAACCCAGAGCCTTTTTGTCTTGCCTGGCTTTTTTTTTTCTCTCAAGGATGGAATTCTACCACTTGAACCACAGCCCCACTTCCAGGTGGTTTTGTTTCTGTTTATTTTTTTGCTGGTTAATTGGAGATAAGAGCCTCACAGATTTGTCTGCCTGGGCTGCCTCTGAACCAGCATCCTCAGATCTTAGCCTCCTGAGTGGCTAGGATGACAGGGGTGAGCCACTGGTGCCCAGCAGGTGTTTTGGTGGCATCTGGGCAGTTAAGCCCTGCCCACCCCACCCTGGGCGTGTTCCATCGCAGCCCTCAGCACTCACCTATGTGAAGATGGGACAGAGGTGGAGCACAAAGCCTACTTAGTGGTGAGGGGAGAGGGGCAAGTATCCCCAGGGTGTCTTTTGTGGGAACTTCAGTGGGTGTTTGTTTGAGGGTCCCCTTGCTAATGCCCTGTCTCTGCCCCCCCACCCCCCCTCAGGGATTGCTCCATCACAGCTACTGGAAAAAGGTAAGATGACAGTTCCAGCCAGCTGCAGGTGAGATGCTTAGCCCCGCCCTGGTCCTGACAGTCTCCGCCCCCACACAGGCCATCTGCTCGCTTCCCTCACCAGCGGAGGAAGAAGAGGAGGGAGATGGAGGACGGCCTGGCCGAGGGAGGGCCTCAGCGATCCAGTAAGTATGCCTGTGGCCCTAGTCGAGGGTGGGCAAGGGAGCCAGGGGCTCCACAACGGTGCTCACTCCCCTCCCACCCCCACCACCCCAGACACATATGTGATCAAGCTGTTTGACCGGAGTGTGGACTTGGCTCAGTTCAGTGAGAACACACCGCTGTACCCAATCTGCCGAGCCTGGATGCGTAACAGCCCTGCAATGCGAGAGCGGGAGCGTTCCCCCAGCTCACCACTGCCCCCGCTGCCGGAGGATGAGGAGGTGGGATGGGTGGGTGGGTGCCAGCCCAGCAGTCAGGGTGGGCAGTGGGGTCGACAGGCTCAAGGAATGCTCCTCCCGTGCATGCTAGTGACAGGCATACATCTCAACCTAGCGTGTGCATGGCTCACACCTGTCATCCTCACTACCTCAGAAGGCTGAGATCTGAGGATCACAGTTCCCAGCCGGGCAGGAAAGGAAAATCGGTGAGACTTATCTCCAATGAACCACCAGAAAACTGGAAGTGGAACTGTGGCTTAAGTGGTAGAGTATTAGCCTCGAGCTTAGAAAAGGCTAAGGGACAGCACCGAGGACCTGAATTCAAGCCCCAGTGTTGGTGTATATACACACACACACACACACACACACACACACACACACACACTATGTACCCTCAAACTAGAGGTATGGATGGAGGTCCCTAGGGCAGACAGATAGGGCTTCCTAACTTGGAGGAAAAGGGACCAGGGCTCCCCAGACAGGTCTACCTGACTTCTAAGATTCAGGGTCTCCAAAAACTTTAACAGACTGGTCAGGGATCATTAATGCAGACAGTGTGGTTATCAGATGTGGCCTGGGTCAGCAGATAAGGGACCCTCTGGGCTGCTTAGGGATAGCCAGTGCAGGGGGTGGGGTGTTAACCATCTGATCTGAGAGGGTAGACAGACATGACCCCACTCTTTTTTTTTTTTTTTTTGGTGCCAGCACTTGGGCTTGAACTCAGAGCCTAGGCACTGTCCCTTAGTTTTATTTGCTCAAGACTGACACTCTACCACTTGAGCCATAGCTCAACTTGTGGCTTTTTAGTGGTTCTTTGGAGATGAGAATCTCACAGACTTTACTGCCTGGGCTGGCTTCAAACCATGATCTTCAGATCTCAGCCTTCTGAGTAGCTAAGCTGACAGACATGAGCCACTGCTAAGATCACAGCAGACCTGGCCGCTATGTCCTGGGGAATGGTGAGAATCTAGATGACACAAACATGATTCCTAGACGACTCCCTGAAGCAGACAGGCTGCATCTGCCCTGGACTGACAGGTGTAGTGTGTCTCTGGAGCAAGCATCCTGTTTCTGTTGTTGAAGCATAACTTCTCCAAGCATGGGTTTCTTGGTGAGACCTTCATGACACTTGTCACTGGAAAAGGGAGGAAGGGGTAACCGCCACACTTAATTAACCCTTGGGCCTGGTATGGGGCCCCTCCCTATCCCCCCCAGGGTTCAGAGGTCACCAACAGCAAGAGTCATGATGTATACAAGCTGCCTCCACCCACGGCTCCAGGACCACCAGGCGAGGCCTGCAGATCCCGCATTCCATCCCCGCTGCAGCCAGAGACCCAAGGCACCCCAGATGATGAGGTGGGTCTACAAGGCTGATGGGTGACAGAATGAGGGCCCCTGGGGTGGGCAGGACTGGTGACCGTGGCATACTTGACCCTGGAGGCAGAGACAGGAAGGTGGACCTTGTAGGGAAGAAGTGGTCAGATGTGGCCACCCAGCCTGCCCTCTCTGTCCACACAGCCCTCTGAGCCCGAGCCTTCCCCCTCTACACTCATTTATCGCAACATGCAGCGCTGGAAACGCATCCGCCAGAGGTGAGCATTCTCCATCTTGCTTTCCCTCCTCTATGGCTGTCTGTGCCATTACTGAGGCCTTCCTCTGCCTTCTGCCTCCCCTAGGTGGAAGGAGGCATCTCATCGGAACCAGCTTCGATACTCAGAAAGCATGAAGATCCTGCGGGAGATGTATGATCGCCAGTGATGTGCCTGACCCCTCCCCTTCCTCACCCCAGTAAACATGTTCTACCCCCCCAACCCTGTGTTCCAGCCCCTCCCTTCCTGGCCAGACAGGAAGCAGTTGACACAGGTCTAACATCTTTATTAGTGACAGGAAGCCAGGCTGTGGGAATGAAAGCTGGCTGCTTAGTTGGCTCTTGGAGTATGTGGAGTTGGAGGGCGTTGTCTAGAATATCTATCAGGCTGGAGGGTCTGGAATTCTGGACAAGACTGCTAGTGAGTTGGGAGGGGAACTTAGCACAGGCACCTAGTCTGAGAAGTCTACAGTTTGAAGTTGGGGTCCTGGTTGGCCTGTTTAGTTTTCCCAAGGATTGGGAGCCTGTAGAGGGGGTCTAATAGGAATTCAAGAATGTGGGTGAGTGGCTGGGGTTTCAGGTAAGAAAATAGGCTTGGGGTAGGGGAGTGTCTTTGAGGGCAGGATCTAGAGTCTTGGGGACAAGGCCTGGTCTGTCTGCAGTGGGAGATCCCTTGCAGTCTGGGGCATGTGGACGGGTGAGGGAGTTTTTGCCTGACTAGAAGGGAATGGGGGAGTGTTTACACTCTTATCATCTGTTGGGGGGAGGGCAGATATTTCATAGGAATCAGAAGGAATGCAGGAGGGAGCCCTAGAGGGATATAAGCCAAGAAAGTGGGGTGGGGTGTTGGGTTGAGGGGGGCGGTCTGAGGCTGGCCAGGCTGGGCCGTCAAGGCCCAGTGCAAGGCAGAATCTGGCTTGGGTCAGAGGGGCTGTCTTGGCGCCGTCGGGGGTCTGGCTAGGCGGAGTCAGATAGGCTTTTTTCAAAAGAGCCCAAGTGGCTCTCAGGATTCAGATGCTCCGCATCCCCTACTTGGCAGCAGTCGGTGACGGCAGTGGGGCCTGGGCCGGAGCTGGTGCGGCCTGGATGGACAGGACGCCCTCGGGGGACAGCGCCGAGGTCACGGCCGCGGGGTCCACACCGGGAGGCAGGCGGTAGCGACGGTGGAACTCGCGGGCAATGAACCCATGCTCATCCTGGCAGGGGAGAGGGGCTTCAGCTGGCCACGCCCCTCCCCGGCCACGCCCTCTAAGGCAACACTGGTCCGGCTATTCTATCTGGCCACGCCTATTTTGGAAACCCCGCCCTCCGCAACGCAAACCCCCCTACAGATCACACCCATCCCCCTGGCCACGCCCCCTTGCGCTTGAGCAAGTCTCCAAGTCTCCCGCCGGGTCCAGGAGCTCACCGGGCGCTCCTCGTGGCGCGCGTGCACCTCGACGTGATCACCAACCACCTTGACAGCGATTTCCTCTGGGGAGAAATGCTTCACGTCCAACAGTACCGAGAAATGGCCGGGATCCGTGGACACCTGAGCACAGCGAGCACGGGCAGGGGAGTCATCCGACGGGGGGGGGGGGGGGGGGGGGTGTCACCCACCGAGGATCTATCCCCGTCCCCCCCCCAGTCGGTTGGTTCTGGTACTACAACAACTCAGGCCTCTGTACCTGGGGAGTCTGTACCCTTCCATCTTATATCCCCTTTCACCCGCGATCCCTGGGATCCCCCTCTCGTTCATATAGGGCCCCTCCCCTTGCAAGGTTAGGGACCTCCGCCTGCCCAGAGGGAGCTTGTCTGCCCTTTCCCACCGGTGTCACCGAGTCATGCAGTAGCCATGCCCTCGCCACAAGGGCTCTTATTCTCTTCCCGCCCCCCCACCCCTCCAGCCACGGCCAAGATGCCTCTTTTCTCCCAGTCTTCAGAGCCCTGGGGTCACCAGACCTCCCTCCCCCTCTGCAGTTACTGGTTCCCTTCCATTTCAGAATGGCTTATCAAGTCACAGAATTCTTCCTAACCCTTTACCTGTCCAGGAGAGACACCACACCATTTCCAATCCTTCACCTTCTCCCCCAGATTCCCTGGGTCACCAGCCTCCTTTGAAGGCCTCAAGACTTTCCTGGGAGTGACCCAGCCTTTTCACTCGCCTCGGAATTCTGAGACCCTTTCACAGTGACAAGGACACACACACACACACACACACATACACACACACATACACACACACACACACCTTTAACTCACTAGAATAACAGTTTTCGATATTCCATACTCGGGGACCTCTGGAAAGTCCTCTGAGTGCCACAATTTTCCACTCTGTTAAAAATCACCTCTCTATCCCCGCGCCCTCCCTTCCCAGGTTAACCCAGAAACTCCCCCCCTCCAGCTTTGTCGAAGTATCCCTGCCCTAGGCCTGGGCACCTGGGCAGTGGGCAGTGCCACACTGGGGGCACGCAGGTAATAGGGGGCGATCGCTCCAGGGCAGAGCGCAGCCAGCTCTGCCTCCAACAGCCCTTCGCCGAAACGCTGATCAAAGAGACGTCCCGGGGTAGAAAATCCCGGCAATGGAGCCGAAGCACGACGCAGCCAAGACGGCTGCACAGGCACCGGGATCTCCATCCTGTTCCTCTGCCGCCGTCCGGGGCTCTGCGATTCCCCTTCGTCCCCAGCTGCTCATTTATAGTGTGCCCGGTGCCAGCCCCTCGGCCCGGCCTCTCCGGGACATCTGGATCGTGGCCAGACTCGGCCATGAGTGTCCTTATTTAGAAACCCGATAATGACTTAGCCATTTATTAGGCGCCTACTGGATGCCTCGGAGAGGACCCCAGGGAAATGTCAATTCAATTTTCTTTTCAGCTTTCAGGAAGAGAAACTAAGGCATATTGGGGGACGGACCCTTGGCGGTGTAGAGAACACAACGTGCCCATCTAACCCCCATCTCCAACCCCCCCCAAGTTTCCTCAGTTCCCTTAATCCATCCCACCCCTCTGGCAACTATGAAGATGACGCAGAGACCTTGGGGGCAGATTCCTGGAAAATGTGGTGGCAAGGCCAGACTGTCAGGAGGACACTGAACAGACCCTACCCCCACCTCCAGCAGGACCTTAGGCCCAGCCCCCCTTTCCACCCCCGCAGGTCGGGCCTAATTCTGTGCCTCTGACTCAGCCTTGGGTGCACAGCGGCCAGGGGGCGTGAGCACAACACTCCAGTCTGGCCCCTCGGGGGCCGCGCGTCGGAGCCCAAAATAGCTCATTTTGATCCCGCTACCTGGGCCAGGAGCCCGGGCCTGGCAAGTGGTGCAACCAGCTGCTTCTGCGGCAAGAAGGAAGTGGCTAGGTGATCATCGGGACCGGCTGGCTGACCCAACTAAAGGAGGGCTAGACTCCCAATTGCCTTGTAACGAGTAGAACAGGAATGAGACTGGAACAGGGAGGTTTCTTCTGTAGTCACCAAGAGAGGTGAGAAAGCAAGAGTGCAAGGAAAGCTAATGTACTCGCCCCCAGGTTCTAGCCCAGCCTTAGATCCTGTCCATTGGTCCATACTCTTGCCTATCACTTCTGCACGCTACAGCTTCTCCAATCAGACACAGGCTTCCAAGCAGGCCAATCTCACAGCCAATCACAAGACCCCTCGAGCTGCCCACTTTCCAATTCCTTTTATTTCCCTCTCCACTATTGGTCGTCTTGAACGCCACTCTCTTCCAGCGCGGGCCTTCCAAGAGGGGCGGGGCTGAAAGGGCATTGCTAAGCGACACGGATGCGCGCGGTGTCTGTCGGGTGAACGAACTAAGCAGGGTCCAGCCATCAAGTAGCTGCGGGATGGACCGCAGGTGAGGCTGATCGCTCTTCCGAAGACCACGGGAAGCCAAGGGAGGTCCCAGGGCGAGAACAGCAACAGGTTCTCGAGGAACTGAAGCGTTGGGCTAGGCCGCACTGGAACTACAACTCCCAACATCCTGCCCAGCCTCGGGCAGCTCCAGCTGCAGACTTCACCTCCCGAGGGGGTTGTCAACCTCTCACACCCTCTCTGGGTGGCCCTCAGGCATTATTTGCCCCGGGGGTGCCCAAAGGCAGCTTGTAAATTCAGCTTATTTTTTGAAATTGCCTCCAGGCACCCATGGGCGTTGTCTTTGTTTCTCGCGAGGTGGAGCCAGCCCGGTGAATCCTGGGAATTGTAGTCCACTTACTCTACTCCCAAGGACTTAAGGGAAATGTGCAGTAAAGGATTTAGTAATTGTTACCCGAGCAGCAGCACTCTAGAATCCCCTGGGAAGTGTTTAAGAAGATGGAAATACTAATTACCCTGATTCGACCATTATACCTTGTTATATATGTATTGAGTTATCAAACTGTACCTTTATAAATGTGTACATTTAGCCTGTGTCAATTTATTTTTTGTGTGTGTGCTAGTCCTGGGACTTGAACTCAGGGCCTGGGTGCTGCCCCTAGCTTTTTCACTCCAGGCTGGTGCTGACCATTTGAACAACACCTCCACTTGTGGCTTTTTGCTGGTTATTTGGAGAAAAGGGTCTGTTGGACACTTCTGCCCATGCTGGCTTCTAATCATGATCCTCTGATTTCAGTCTCCTGAGTTGTCAGGATTACAGGCATGAGTTGCCAGTGCCTGGCATGGCTGTGGTTTCAGAAGGCCCTTCTGTCGTTATTTTGAATGTGCAATAGTGCTTCATAAAATTATAATCTGTTGGGTTGGGAAGTTGGCTCAGTGGTAGAGCACTTGCCTTGCATGCCTGAGGCCCTGGGTTCGATTCCTCAGCACCACATAAGAAAAAAGCTGGAAGAAGTGTTGTGGCTCAAGTGGTAGAGTGCTAGCCTTGAGCTGAAGAGCTGAGGGACAGCGCCCAGGCCCAGAGTTCAGGCCCCATGACTGGACCCAGAAAAAAAAATTATAATCTGTTGCTTTCAGGAATCCATGCTCATGATCTGGTTCTTCCTTTCTCATTTCTTATAGTTGCTCAGTTCTTCCTACCCAAGACAGCCCCTTTGGAGATACTCTGGGTCAAAGCCATTACTGGCCATCCAAAAGCCAGACCTGGTGTCCCAAGGTAAGGATACCCCATGGAGAGTGCTGGGTTCTAGCCTGTTAACCAGGAGTGACTACTAGAGGAATGTCATGTGTAGATAGATTAAGAGACAGCCTCACAGTCAGGTATTAGTGGCTTGCTTATGCCTGTCATCCTAGCTACTCAGGAGGCTGAGATATAAAGATCAGTGTTTTAAATCAGCCTGGGCAGGAAAGTCCATGAGTCTCATTTCCAGTGAAATACCAAAAAGCCAGAAATGGAGGTGTGGCTAAAGTGGCAGAACACCAGCCTTGAGTGAAAAAGCTAAGGGACAGCACTAGTCTCTTGAGTTAAAGCCCCAGTACTGATACACACACACACACACACACACACACACACACACACACACACACACAGACACACACACACACACACACGAGGCTGAACTCACATTTCCTCCCTGTAGCTCTCCCTGTCCAGCTCTCTGCCACCTGGATCTGCCACCATTTCCCCCAGTTACCCTGGGTTGTTCACAGTGGAATAACCTCATGGGGTTTGTTTCTCCTCTTCTGGACTGAGATACTCATGCCTTTGCTCCGTACAAAGTTGATTTCTCAGCTCTTGCATTATCTTCTGGTCTTCTCCCTCATCTTAGCCCTTAAGCCCATCCAGGTCTCAGAGATCCGGTCTCCCACAGGCTCCCAAAGCTGCAAGCGATTCCTCTGAGCTGTTAGAGGACTCCTGGCCATCTAGTTCAGCGACCCCATCCCCACCCAGCACTAATGATGGGCAGATGGGCACCTTGCCACCCACCCTGATGGACAGCGAGGACTCTGTGGTGGCCAAGTAAGTATCAGAAGTCCTGAGGGACAGGGGAGTTTGGGTAGGAGGGCAGGAGAAGGCTGCCCATCTTTATCACTTTTAAGGACCAATCACTTCATGTATGTTAAGAGTTCTGGAGCTGCCTGGTGCTGGTGGCTCATGGCTATCATTCTAATTACTCAGGAGGCTGAGATCTGAGGATCATGGTTTGAAGCCAGCTTGAACAGGAAAGTCTGTGAGACTCTTGTTTCTAATCAACCCACAAAAAGCCAGAAGTAGAGCTACAGCTCAAGTGGCAGAGTACCATCCTTGAGAGGAAAAGCTAAGGGACAGCAGCCAGGCCCTGAGAAACATTGGCTTTTGTAATAATAATAATAATAATTTGTTGTTGTTGTTATTATTATTACCTGGCAGTCCTCATCCCTTCCCTTCCTATTGCCTGATGCTTGCAGGTACATAAACAGGTTCCGCCAAGCTCAGCCCACAAGCCGAGAGGAACGTCAGCCTGCAGGCCCAACCCCAGCAGACTTTTGGTGGCTGCAACCTGAGTTGCCAGACACCAGCGGTCAGTTTGGCACAGGTATATTCTTTGGTCCCATCCACCTCCAGCTGAAAATCTTTCTTGATTCATGACCCTGGCAGCCACTCTTCCTGGTCCCTGTAACTCAACTGAAGTTTCTCAGCAGGAGCCAATGAGTCAGAAGGAAAATCCAGAAGAGCAGCAGCAGTCCCAACTCCCACCAAGGTAACCGGCACATCCCAGGCCAGGGTTCTCCTTCAGGAAATAAAGCACTCCCTCCCCTGGGTGCCTGAACTGACAGCCCCAGCCCTGGGGTAGAATTAAAGCCAATCCTCAACTCAGGAAATCATAAACAAAAATAGGACTTGTGAGCCGGGCACTGGTGGCTCACGCCTGTAATCCTAGCTATTCAGGAGGCTGAGATCTGAGGATCGTGGTTCAAAGCCAGCCTAGGCAGGAAAGTCCGTGAGACTTTTATCTCCATTAAACCACTAGAAAACCGGAAGTGGCGCTGTGGCTCAAATGGTAGAGAGCTCGCCTTGAGCTGAAGAGCGCAAGGACAGCGCCCAGGCCCAGAGTTCAAGCCCTACTACCAAAAAAAAAAAAAAAGGGGACTTGTTTTGGGGCTGGGAAGGTGGCTCAGTGGTAGAGTGCTTGCCTTGCATGCATGAGGCCCTGGATTTGATTCCTCAGCATCACATAAGCAGAAAAAGCCAGAAGTGGCACTGTGGCTCAAGTGGTAGCACACTAGCCTTGAGTTGAAGAGCTGAGGGACAGCACCCAGGCCCAGAGTTCAGGCCCCACGACTGACAAAAAAAAAAGGACTTGTGGGCCGAATGTAAATTTGAATTCCAAAAGTGGATGCTTTCAGGAACAGCCAGATCCAGCTGTCTGGACAGTGTTGGAAGGAACCTAATGCTTGAGGTTCTGTGTTCTTCTTTGCTAGGCAAGCTTGCCCCTCTCAGTAGCCAAGATGGCCCCAGTTAAGGCTCTAGGCTGCCATGGTGCTAACTCAGCTTCTGCAGTGAAAAGTGATGGTGTTTCCAGTAGCTCCATTCAAAGTCCTAGGGTACACTCTTACTTGCTCATTCTTAAGTCAATCACCTTGAAGCAGAAGGTAGAGCCAGTTCCAATAGTGGGGGTGGGGGGGGGGGTGGGACTTGCACCAGATGGATGTGCTTCCAAAGAAGCACATCTTCCCTGAGAAGGAGGCCATGAAGATGCCAGCTGGAGTCTAGACTGCACTCCAGGCCTTCTGTCCAAGCTTCTTTCCCAGCAGCCTTTGTAGTGAGGGGCTCTGACCCCTCTCTCCTTGCAGAGCCTCAACACTTGGAAGTCATCCCTGCTGGACCTGGAGACACTGAGCCTACAAAGCAGAGCAGCCAGACTGCTCAAACGCAGGTGCCCACCTCCCAGCCCATCAACCTTCCCATTGCTTCTAGCCACAGCCTAGTCCAACTGCTTCTAAGAGCTCTGCCTTCTCCCTACAGCAAGGCCTCCATCTCCTCCTCCTTCAGCCCCAGTGAAGCCAGCAGCTCCTCCTTCCCTGTCAGCTCCGATGGCTTCCCTCCTTTCCCCATGACTTTCACCCCTGACTCCAGCAAGGACTCTGGCCCCAAAGCACCTGGTAAGTGCTGGGAATCCAAAAGGGAGAACAGCATGAATTTGAATCTCCTCTCCACCATTTACCAGCTGGGTACCTTGGAATGTCATGGGGGCCTGTCTCCCCTGCTGTAAAAGAGGAGTGCTAGCTGGATTCTTCTACAGGTCTTGTGAGGGTAAAATGAATTCGTGACAGGTGGAGAACACTTTGGTTCAGCTGTCAACAGCTAGCATGTATATGAGAGGCCTAGCACTTTTTGTGATTCCAGACAGGTGAATTGCAGTATTGGTGTTTGAACTCCGAGCCTTGTGCTTGTTAGGCAGAGGCTTTTATTGCTGCCTCTAGTCCTTGCTGGTCATGTCATCTTGAACAAAGTCTGAAGAAAAAAAAAATGCTTTTTGAAATTTGGCATCCAATTTATTTAAAAGCAAATTTTGATTTATGAGATTATTTATAATCTATCTTGAATGTATTTAGAATATCCCCTCTCCCCCCTTTTTTTGGCTAGTACCAAGGCTTAAACTCAGGGCCCCACACTGGCTTGGCCTCTAGCCTGATATTTTGCTGGTTAATTGGAGATAAAGAGTTTTAAGGACACTTCTGCCTGAGTTGGCTTCAAATCACAATCCTTCAGATCTCAGCCTCCTGAGTCACTATAGAATCTTTATGGCCAGGCTAGCCTGACCTTTGAAGTCATCCTACCTCAGCCTGGGATTACAGGTATATGCCACTATGCCTGGCTAGGCTTCTAAATTTTACCATGAAAGAGATACAATTAGGGAAGGATTCCTGCCAAGAGGCCCTGACCACTCAGGTGTCCACAGACTCTCTGTGGCTATGAATGGGCAAGCAAGGAAAGTAGGAATCCAGCAAGAAGCCTGCTGTGGTGGTAGTACAGGTAGGGTGAGTAGGGCTGGACCACGGGGAGGGCAGTGGCAGGAGCAGGAGAATGGACAGATTTAGAAGAATCTGGCCTCTTCACTACTGAAACCCCAATGTCCAGAACTCACATGCATGGCACATAGCAAGAGTTCCATAAATATTAGTTGGCTGAATGAACTGAAAGATAGGTTGAGCTGGGTACCAGTGGCTCACACTTGTAATCCTAGCTACTCAGGAGGTTGAGATCGGAGGATCACAGTTCAACACCAGCCTGGGTAGGAAAAGCCCATGAGACTTTTATCTCCAAGGAAGCAGCAAAATGCTGGAAGTGGAACTGTGGCTCAAATGGTAGTGTGCCACTTTGAGCAAAAAAGCTAAGAGACAGCACCCAGGCCCTGTGTTCAAGCCTCAGGACTGGTACCACATACACACAACTCTATTGGCAGGTTGAAAACCGGAGGAGTGTCTGTCCTCTGACTCCCCCTCCCCCATCCCTCTCTGGCACAGAGTTGGGCATCACCTGAGCAGCCTTGTCTCTGGCACAGCTGAGGGAGGTGAACAGCCTGCTGACACACTGGCTCCTTTCCTACCCTCACCCTTCTACTTCTCTCAACACCAGCTCCAGCCGCCGCTGCAGCCGCTGCGGCAGCCACAGCGGCAGCCACCGCAGCCACCGCCTCTCCCTCCTCCCGGGCACCCCTTCGACCTGAGGAAGACATTTTGTATCAGTGGAGGCAACGTCGGAAACGCGAACAGGCTCAAGGAGGCCAGGGCGATGGAACATGGGTGCAGCCCCAGCCCCCAGCCCCTACCGCTCTGGTGAGTTGGGAGAGGGCAAGGCCAGAGGGGACTGGAGGAAGGAGGATCCCCAGGGGAACTCCTCTGTCTTCCTCTCCCTCTCACAGCCTTCCTCCTGTCTGTCCACAGGCCTCTCCTGCCCCTCAGACCTCCTTTAATTCTGTGGGGACCCAGTCCAGCTGTGCTCCACCGTGGGCCAGTCTGGCTCAGGCTGGTCCCCCTGAGACCTATATAGAGAGACCTTTTGTGCCACCCGGAGCCTCTCCACACGTCCTCTGGGCCTCCAGCCCCCATGGCTTCATCTGGGCCCCACAGCCCAGTTCTTGGGTAACTTTAGGGACAGTTCCTCCCACACTGCTGTCCTCCACTCCATCTCCTCTAGCCTCTACCCTAGTGCTGCCAGTCTCCAACCCAGCTCATCCAGCCTCCACCCCGGCTCCCCCAGCTCCCATCCCAGATCCCTCAGCCTCCACCCCAAATTCCCAGCCCTCCATCCGTGGGCCCCCTGCTACCCACCAGGGCCCTCATACCCCAGAACAAAGCAGCCCCGCTCAGCCCCAGAAGCTGAGTCCCGAGCCTTTGAGGACCAGAGCTCCCCGTCAAGAGGCTGCTGGGGGCATCAAGACAACGGATGAGGGGCCTGGCCCGCAGCTCAGGGGGGCCCTGGGCCAGGTAGTGACCGCTCGGCTGTTCCCCAACAGCCCGGAGGAGGACAGGCCTCCATCCAAGGCCGAATCTGTGATTCGCAAGACTAGACCTTCCCAAGCCAAAGTCAAGCCCCCTGGACAAGAGGCCACGCCCTCTCCGCTTGACTCCCGAGCCGGATCAGAGGGGGATGCCCAGAGAGCCAAGGCCACGCCCCCCTGCGGAGGGCGGGAGCTCTGGGCAGGTAAAGCCACGCCCTCAGCGGAAGCTGCGGACCAGCCTGCCCCGACCCCCGCGGGGGCCTTGGAGGCGGGGACTCGGGGACCCGTGGCCACGCCCTCCGGTGGCCACACCCCCTCGGAGGAGTTACTATTACAGGCCGCCCAACTTTTGCAGGCCGCAGAAGGTGAGCTGGTTGCTCACCTCCGGGATTTGGGTGGGGATCCAGCCCACCCCCTGAATGAAGTCTCACGCTTTCCGCCCCCCTGCCCCTCAGACTCCGACGGCAGCGAGTTTCAGGACGACCCTGTGCTGCAAGTGCTGAGAGCTCAGAGGGCAGAGCTGCGACAGCAGAAAAGGTGACCCTCCATCACCAGGCTCGGTGTTCTCCGATTGGGTGTCCGACCCTCCTTTGAGCCCCTTTCCCAGACCCATTTACAACCCAAGACCTGAATCCTGAGCACAAACCCTAGTCTCTCCTTCCCCCACTATTCTCCAGGAAAGTGGAAGCTCAAATATCCCTCCTGGTGTGCCACACTGAAGACCCCAAGCCTTGGTCTCCTCCAGCCATATCACCAAGAAGGAGGTCCCCAAGGAGGCTGCGGAGGGAAGGAGCCTCCTTCGAGGCCAGACGACTTTGAATTGTATATATTCTCTTTTGCCCAATGAAACATTTTTTTCCCCAAGTCAATCTCTAAGAAATGGATTTTGTGGAAAGGCCCAAGGGTTGTGCTAGCTTAAGGAATTGCGTTGATGCTGTCACCTCCTTTCCTTCCTATTCCTTTTTTTTGGGGGGGGGGTCCGGTCGTTGGGCCTGAACTCTGGGCCTGGGCGCTGTCCCTCAGCTCTTCAGCTCAAGGCTAGCACTCTACCACTTGAGCCACAGTGCCACTTCCGGCTTTTTTCTTTTTGCTTATGTGGTGCTGGGGAATCGAACCCTGGGCCTCAGGCATGCAAGGCAAGCGCTCTACCACTGAGCCACCTTCCCAGCCCTCCTCTTTTTTTTTTTTTTTTTAAACAAAGCAACATTAAAAAAATTTGTCAATCTACAGCTTAAAATTTCATTACAAAGCTTATCAAACCTGCCAGAGACAAAAACAAATTTAGCTGACACCAGAAGTGGAATCACTGTGCTGAGGGAGGGGTTTGTGTGTTTTTTGTTTGTTTAATGCTGGTACTGGGGCTTGAACTCAGGGGTCAGGTGCATCCCTTAGCTTTTTCTGCTCAAGGGTAGATCTCTATCACTTGAGCCACAGCTCCATTTCCAGCCTTTTGGTGGTTGATTGGAGATGAGTCTCACAGACTTTCTGCCTGGGCTGGCTTTGAACCTCAATCCTCAGATCTCCTGAGTAGATAGGATTGCAGGTGTGAGGTACTGATGTCCAGCTGTGATCAGAGTTTTATTTGTATTTTTATGAACAATGGGGATATTAAAGCCAGGCCCTCTGAAGTTAGGGCTCTATTGATGACCAATGTCAGTATCCTTCTTGGAGTGTTTCCAGGGCATTGCTCAATTAGTTGTAGGAAAGACCAGGATTGGGGATTTTATGGGAAGCATAATTTCTGGGTTTTTTTGGGGGGGAGTCCGGTTGTGGGGCCTGAAGTCTGGGCCTGGGCGCTGTCCCTCAGCTCTTCAGCTCAAGGCTAGCGCTCTACCACTTGAGCCACAGCGCCACTTCCGGCTTTTTTCATTTTGCTTGTGTGGTCCTCAGGAATCGAACCCAGGGCCTCAGGCTTGCAAGGCAAGCGCTCTACCACTGAGCCACCTTCCCAGCCCCAAGGGAAGCATAATTTCTGGCAAGAAAAACAGACTCAAGGTTGCAGGCCAGCCTGAAATAACCGGTAGAAGAGGAGACAAGGAAAATGTCCAGTGGGTAAGGGGAGGCCATGTCGCAGAGATCCTAGAATTATATATTTCAAGGCAGACAGGTTGTTCATGGAGAGGGGGGAAAAAGGAGCGTGGGCAGGCCTTACGATTCTATGGGGAAGAATCGGAGGCAGGACTGACAGAACAGGACTTGGAAAAGCTGCTAGAGGGGCATAGAACCAATTAAGAACGTCAGAGGAGCGGTCTCCGAGAGCGGATAAAGGAGATGGTCCGCGGCTGAGGGTTACAAGTGTCAGCCGCCGGGCATAAAGAACCCGGGGGGCGTGTCTCAGGAGGGGGAGATGGCCACTGAGAAGCAGCCGTGGGCGTGGCGCTGTCAAACTTCAGGGGGCGGGGCCGAGGGAAACAGTGGCGGGGGGGCGGGGGGGATGTGAAGCCCCAAACAGAGCCAATGAGAAGCCACCGGGGTAGGCGTGGCTTTCCCCTAAGGCCTTGGGTTTGGCCAATGAGACGCGTCGCCGCGTCCTCCCTCCTTTCCCCGCCCCCCCCGCCCTTCTCCCTGCACCCGTGGGGCGCGCGCCGGAGCTTCGGGCGGCCGTTAAGGGCGGGGCCTGCAGCCGCCCGCGCGCGGCTCGCGCCCTCCCCTTTGTGTCGCCATGGCGGCGGCGGCGGCGGCGAAGGCGAAGAACGAGCGGTCGAGCGCAGTCGGAACCTGAGAAAGGCCACCGCGACCATGGTGGTGAGGCACGGCCCACGCGGCCGTCAAGTCTGTCCGTCCGTCCGCGTGTGCGTCTGTCCGCGCGCGTCCCAGCGCCCTGCGCGCCCCCGCCCCACGGCCCCGCCCGAGCTCCCTGGCCCGCGCCGCGGCACCCCGGGGGCGCCCGCCCGCCTTTCTCCAGGCCCCCACCCAGTGGCTCGAACCCCGACCCCGACCCCCCCCCCCCCGCAGCGCACATCCCCCGGCCCGCCCTCCCCTCCACGCTCCACGTCCTGAACCCGGTGACAGTGGCGGAGGACCTCGGGCTGGAGAGAAGAAGGGGCCGGTCCAGGCAAGATCCCGCGCATCCGATGGGGGCCGTCATCCCGGGGGGGGTTCCCTCCCGACCCCCACCCCCGGGCCGGGGTCTGCTGGAGAACAGCCTCCATCCCATGCCGGCGCCTGGCTCAGCATCCCCCCCCCCCATTCGGATCTAGCGTCCCCTCCACGCCCAGCAGCCCTGGTCTCGAGCCTGAGCCCCACCCTACCCGTCCCTCCATCCTCGGCCTGACCCTTTTCTTCTCTCCCTCCTCCTCACCCCATTCCCAGCCTTCCCCCCAATCTCGCTGCTGCCCCCGCCTCCATCTGAACCTTTTACTCCCCCCCCCCCCCCCACCTCTCCAGCTTCTCCTCCTCTTCCTTACCCCACCCAGGAAGCCAGGGCTGTTGTACCTCTGGCTTCATCCACAGGGTTTCCCTCTGCCTTCTTGTCCTCTCCCCTCCTCCACCATCTCGGCTCCCCCTGCCCCCCACCATGCTGTTCCGGCTCATTCATCCATTTATTCCCTCCTTCCCTCGCTCAGCAGACATCCACTGAGACCTCCTCTGTGCAGGCCCCATGCTCCAGGCACAGAGACGGTCAGATCCCATCCTGCCTTGGGGAGCTGCATGGGCTGGCAGGGGACAGACTTCGAGGGTGAGACCCAGGGATGAACTTGGGGTTGCAGGGACATGGAGGAGGGAGAAGCCCATCTGGCAGCTGGTTAAATGTATTTATCACATTTTTATCTAACTCCTGCTGGGTGACACAGCTGGCATGGGCTGGGCATTGGGGACCCAGCAAAGAATCCAGGACAATCTTTCATGTGAAGAGCCCCAAGTTTGTGCCCAGCTCTGTCCTTGGCCGGGGCAGGGGGGGGGGGTGTGGGGTAGGGTATCTCAGACCCTGCTTCTGGGGAGGTAAGCGTCCAATGGGACAGACTGGGCTTGTCAGCAGACAGTGTCATTTCCCAGTGCTGGAAGGTGTGCTGGGGGAGCTCAGGCAGAGTCAGGGAGCCTGGGATGGGAGACCTCTGGAGATGGGGGAGTCCAGAAGAGAAACTGGGTACAATCTAAAGACGCAAGGAGGGCTTTCTAAAATACCCATGAGAGCTGAGACCTGGGGCTGAGGCAAGAACCTAGGGACAGGGCCCGGGGTTCCAGACTGAGGTGCAGATGTAGAAGGACATGGGAAGATGACATTTTTCCCAGGACTCTGAGAAGTGGAAGAGCTCAGAATGGGGAAGAGAGGGCCTGGAGAGGTAAAAAGAGGCCAACTCAAAGAAGTATGAACATCATCAGTACAGAATTCTTGTTTCATCTTGAAGACAACTGAGGGTCATTGAAGGCCCAGGATCTGTGGCCAGACAGGGCCACATTTGTGCTTTATGAAAATGATCCTGGCACTCCTGAAGAAGTTGAGGGAGGGAAGAAGTTGGGAGGAGAAAGAAGAGGAGGAGGAGATATGGGCTGTGACAGTCCAGACAGTGGCAGGAGGTGACTGTACCCTGCAGAGCTGCAGTAGTTGCCATTTGGGATACAGGGTCTTCAATAGGGAGAGATGGGGCCCACATGCCCTTTCTCCTGTTGCCTGATCACCCTGGGTCCCTGCTCCTCCAGCCCTCCACCCCAGACCACACAAGAAGCAGGCTTGTCTGTAGCCCAGACTTCCTTTCCCCTCCTCCCATCCCCCTGACCTACCCTCTTACTCCAGAATCTGGACTGTGTATGGATCAAGCAGGCCTCTGGCAGATAACAATGCTCCATTTCTCTCTGCTCCCCATCTCTGGGCCCTCAGAGTCTTCTCTCTGCTTCGCAGGCCCGCAGCACAGACAGCCTGGATGGCCCGGGGGAGGGCTCCGTGCAACCTGCTGCCCCCACTGGGGGGCCCAGTGTGAAGGGGAAGCCTGGGAAGAGGTGAGGAGGGCAGGGATGGATGGGCTTAGTTCAGGAGGGAGGGAGCTGCCCCTCCATGACACAACCCCTGTCTTGTGTCTTGTGTCACCTGTCTCCCAGACTTTCTGCTCCTCGAGGTCCTTTCCCCCGGCTGGCTGATTGTGCCCACTTCCACTACGAAAACGTTGATTTTGGCCACATTCAGGTAGGAGGCTTTGTACCCAAGTGGCAGGTGAGAACCTCCCAGCCCTGAACCCCTCTTATCTGCTTTGCCCTGAAGCCTGACCCTGTGACTGGGTGCTCTGAGTCACTAGCAGGAGTAGCTGGGGCCAGATGCTCCTTCATTCCTTTGACTTATTCTGTAGTGACCTGTACACATGTGTATGCCATTACTAGGGATTGAACTCAGAGCCTGGGCGCTGTCCCTGAGCTTTTGTGCTCAAGGCTGGCACTCTACCACTTGAGCCACAGATCCATTTTCACCTTTTTTAGTGGTTCATGAAGCGTTTCACAGATTTTCCTAACCAGGATAGCCTCTAACTTTGATCCTCAGATTTCAGCCTCCTGAGTAGCTAGGATGATAGGTGTGAGCCACCAGGCTCTGACATCAACAGCAACTTTTTATTAGGTGTCTGCTGCTTTGTACTCTGAATAAGACAGCAGCAGGCCCTGTCCTTGGGGAGCAACAGGAGGGGTACACATGGATCCCTAGACAGTGTTGAACTGGAGAGGTCAAGATGGAGAAGGAAGTGAGGCTCTTACTGGTTCTTGATTTCCTTCTGCAGCTGCTGCTGTCTCCAGAGCGGGAAGGCCCCAGCCTCTCTGGAGAGAATGAACTGGTGTTTGGGGTGCAGGTGACCTGTCAGGTGAGGTGACGCCTGCCATTCATCTAGCCTGAGGGACTGGCCCCCCAAGTCCTCAGATTCAGTGTAACAGGACCTGTTCCCTCTGTCCTTCCACCCCCTCCCCCATCCTGGTCTCCACAGGGCCGGTCCTGGCCGGTTCTCCGTAGTTACGATGACTTCCGCTCCCTGGACGCCCACCTCCATCGCTGCATATTTGACCG